AAAGCTACTTTATCAAGTTCCCTGATTCTAATTCCAACTTTTACCTACAAACATACTTCCCTGCCAGCAAACCAAAAAAAATATCACTTTCCCAAATGGAAGAAGGGCAAGGAACCTCTTAGTACCAAGCGGGCTACCAATTAGTTGATTTCTTTCCTAGCCATTTAAATGAAATTAGTTGATACTCCCGAATCACTTCTTTTGATCTTGTGTGATTAGACTTGCCTGAACGAAGACCAAGGATGGCAAATGCCCTTTGGCGTAGGGGGTTGTTCACCTTTTCTTTTGAAACTTAGCTAGAAAGATAAACTTAAGACTCTAGTAAAGGAAAACAGGGCTCCCAGGACATCTGGCTGAATGCTTGGCCTCCTGCGCTAGCTGCATAACCTTTCGGGTGAGTCCCATCACTCTTCTTTGACCTACTTCTCTTATTCCGGATCTAGATCTGAGTCTCCAGCTCTATCCTTGATGTCTATATATATGTCTGGCTACTCCTCTATCCTGGAGAATGCTATCTACTACTCTATAATTCCTAAGACTATTTATTACTTTCCCTTCAACTAATCAGCAACAGGAAGCTAATATAGTTTGCTTTCTCTCATAGCCGTGGATCCTATTCTCTGCATTCTTTTTATTTCAGATCATCAATCAATCAACACTTCTCCATAGAGAAATGGTACCACGGATCAGCAGTAGGGATGAGATGGGGAGTTATAGTAGTCAGCTGGTTCTCTGTCTTCATGAGGAACTTTAAAGCAATACTTTAAAGAGGCTACCGATACAAAGATAGAAGGATGTCCATATAGTGGAAAATACATCAAGAATGTCAAAACAAAGGAAAGATGATTATCTTATAGGAAGACTTCTTTCAATGAATACTCCAAAGCATATTCTCTTGATTTCTTCACTGGCACCCTTATCCAACCTGCTGCCCCTGTTACTACAAACTTGTTTTCATCTGATAGATAAGCTTTTGAGAAGAGACCACATTGATAACGAGCTTTCGGGTTGTCAGATTGATACCGCCCCTTGGGAACAGGAGAATAGCATGCAGGAGAAGGATTTAGGGAAAGGTACCCACCTTTTAATGGGAGAAAGGCCAGGTCATCGAGCAAGCATAGTTTACTAGGCGAAGCAATCATCTCGTTTTCCCCTCCCTTTTGGGACTCTCTATCACGAATGTTGATGGCGGCTTTCACCACAGGATTGTGTCCCGTATAGATCTAATAACAAGTATCTAGTCGACAATATGAATAAGCTCCATCGCCTTTAGCTTCTAACTCACCATCTCACTACTAGTAATAACATTGCCAAGGTGACCCTTAACAATTATTTCACTTATTTCTAGTTTAAGAAGGACCTTGTGCGCGGTTCACGACTCCGGTGCTTAGAGATGCGGTTCACTACAGCGATGGTAAGAAAAGAAGAAAACAGTATCAAGAGATGGAAGTGAAAGAAGAACTGTTGATCGACCGGTGGTTTGGATCTTGCCTTTTAGGATTCGGATTGATTCAATCAGATTGGATGGTAGGAAAGTAAGGATAGCGTAAGAAGAAGCGGCGAGATAAAGCAAACAGATGCGTGATCGGAAAGAAGGAACAATCCTCGTCCATTTGCTTCTCCTTGCTGGAACAGAAAAAAGATGGGAGTTGGCGCACCTATCGATCAAGCTACTTTTGTTGAACATCCGGGGGAATCCTACTTTTTTCACACGAAAGTCTACCGAGGGAAAAGGGGGTTTATTCCTCTTGTCGGTATAGGCTCTTTTCTCATTAAGGTTTGGTCCCCATTTAACCAATATATAAATATAGAAGAATGGAGTTCGGGATGCCCTGCCTTTCTGAAATACGAGCATGCGGATAGCTAGTTAGGAAGACGAAGAGATAGTTTCCGACCATGCCTTAGTCGTAATTAGGAATGTCTTGGATTCAAATTTGTGATTCCTTCTTTTCATCGAAGGATGATCATATGATCAATCGAACTAGCCGCCGTTGTCCCGGTCGGGGTAAGCATATCAAGGTAGTTAGCTATGGATAGCATCACGTAAGAATGGAAGGTTCTACCCTCAGATTGCTTGGTTTAAAGTAAAGGGGGATGCCGGATTTGGGCTTTGCTAAAGATACCGCTTCAATATGTCATTTCCAAAACCGAGGAGCACACCGCTGGGAGGACAACTCAAGCACCAAAGACAAAGGTATCGCTCGTGGGTCGTAGTCATCGCTCGGATAAGGGCTAGGAATCACTCTTCATCCTCTAAGGGCTCTTCTCCGTCTATAACTCAAAAGTCCATCTGTCTCTCGTGGAAGCGCTTTCGAGTGCCTAGAAGATCCAGCAAACGGAGGTGCCAATGCTATCCCAAGACCATATCACGGTAGGTAGCTGCTTTAAAGAGGTTGGGAGACGGACTGTTGAACAATCTTCTTGTTGTTTTCTCCGACCTAGAGCACTCTTTTTTTCAATCGTACGAAGAAACTCCGTTCAAAACCCTGCTATCACTCCTATGAGACGGCTAACTCCCAACTCCCGATACATTCTTTAGAGTTGACCAAAGGAAATGAGTCGTTGGTTTGGAGATATTTTCTTTGTTCCTCAACAATTTGCTCTATCCCTTTTTTTCACTTAGTTTAGTTGGAATGGAAAGAGAACTTCCTTCAGTCTTTTTTTTGCCTGGTTCGGTCTCTCTGAGTGGAATAAGTGGCAACAAAAATTTCCTGAGTCACGAAGGTCGAAACTGAAGATCGAATCAAGCGGAGTCTGGATTCCTATGACTGAATTTACCATAAAATTGGACGGAAAAACAACTACAAAGATCACAAGAAACCCAGCTCAAAGTGAATAGAGAGAGAACCCCATTCTATGTGTCAATACCGACAACAATGAAATTTATAGTATATTATATAGTCGATCCATCGACTTTCTAAATTGTGAGGGTTCAAGTCAAGTCCCTCTATCTCTAATAAAAAGCCCATTTTACTTCCTAACTATTATACCAACCTCTATTTTTCATTAATGGTTCAAACAAGATTCACTATCTTTCTTATTCTACTCTTTCGATACAAACTTACTTCTTTGAATCTTATCCCATTCATACAAATGAACATATTATAGTATAGGCAAGTAATCTCGGTTATATCTACAGTTGTTGAGGGCCCACGGGCTGACCTGTGTACGCCCTCGATCCCCTTCCAGTCTGCGATGGTCGATTCGATTTCCACTCCGTCGTCGTCCTGTCCTGTCCTATGCGCTCCGTTCCATCCTCGCCCCGTGCACACAGCTCTCGGCTCCTTTCTCCGCATTCCACGCGCCATCGCTATAGCTCTGCGCCTACGCTCCACCACGCTGCGAGCGCCTTCGTCTACAACCTCCGCCGCCTCGAGAGGGGTCGTGCCGCCCCGGCGACCTCGCGCGCCGTACACCAGTCGTGCTGCCCTGAGACCGCACCCGCCTCCACGGCTCCACTGCTCTCCGCACGCGTCGATGTCGTCACCGATTTAGATGGAGATACAGCGAGCACGGTCTCCCATGAATCCCTAACCATCGTCTTTGCCGACGATGTCCTTGAGGTGAAGGCAGGCGACTGTAGGGGTGCGTACGAAACTCGGTCCGCCTCCGCCTCCGCCTCCTCCAGTCCACCCCTGCACCATCAATGGCGCCTCCCTCCATCCTCTGCCCAGCCCACCGTCGTGACCTCTGCATCCAGCATCATCCAGCCAAGGTATTGTCTCCCTGGCTCTCTCTACGTGTGTGTGTGTGTGAGAGAGAGATTTCCCCCATACTGATTTGGTTCATTGGGTGTAACATAAACTAGATTGGAGTTTTCGAGACGAGAAAGTTTTAGGTAGAACAAGAATGTTGTTGCATTTGCTTGATCTTGGAAATCAAAGGGAGGATGCCGAGTGTGGCCCTGGGTGCTGCTTGATCTCATTTGGGAGATTCAGAGTGTATTGGTGCTTTGACAGACGACATGGGGAGTCAGGAACAATCAGGAGCAGCTGCTTCGAATTGAGAGAGGATGCAGACAGGTTTGCTCTGCTTGAGAATGAAGGGGCTGCTTGCTGCTGGCCTTGGTGGGAAAGAAGAACGAAGCATCTTCCATGTTGTGCTGCAGTTGCAAGGAGAGGAAGGTATACACAGCTGCAAAAACCCAATATCTCAGACAGCCTTCTATATACTCAGCAGATTGGAGATATCTCAAACCTTTCATAGGAGAATTCTAAACTTCTGTGTTCATTAATTTGTTTGCTTTCCTTTGCCTATGTTGTTTGGTCCTGACAGCCATTACTGTTGCAAAAATGAAATTATGGTACTATGTATTAGTGTATGGGCACATGAGCATCTTAGGATACTCATTTCCTTTATCTGATTTAATTTATGAATAATCTTTAGAGGTTCATAAACTGGGCAGATTGGATAATTTACACCTCACTTTGATAATCCAGACTTCGTTGAAGCAAAATCTGCTTGACTATTACATTTTTATCTACCAAATCAACAAACGTTCCTTTCAAATTACCCATTTATTTTTACTAAACATAGTGGCCAGAGACTACCAAAGGAAAATTTCAGAACACAAAGAATAGGAGTGCAGGATCACTCTACCTAAGGTGATGACACCATTTTTTGTGTAGTTGTTGTTCCTGTTCCTCCCTGTTACTGCAGGGTTGGGTTCCATGTCAATTATTTCATCCTTAAGGGTGCGTTCGGTTGTTCCGGAATGAAGCAAGGAATTATTCCAGGTTATCAACATTATACAAATTAGTGAAGCATTCCAACCGGGAATCGTTCCAGGCCTTCGTACCGGAGTAACCGAACAAGCCCTAAATGTACTTAGTAATGAGATCAATTAGTTTTTTTATATCGACGAACGTATCATTTCCTTGCTATTTCTATGCTTATAAAGCTATCATTTTCTAGCCATTTCTTTAATTACTAGCATAGACAAAGATAGTTAATTGTTTCGTAAACAGCCCACTTTATTTATTATATAGAATACTTTTCCCTTACGCCACCAACACAAACACTTGCATTGGCTCACGTGTACCAGTTGTCTTCATCCTTCCTGTGTAAATGCTACCCTTAATAGTACTCCATGATGCATGATAGTAGCTATCTTCAGAAGATGCATATAGAATCAGGAAATCACAACCAATCTAAAAACAAAGCCAAACCATATGAAAATAAATGATACATCCAGGTAATACAATGTCATTGTCATGACCATTGTTTCCTAAAAACATCTATGTTTTTAGAAATTATAACTATAACATATTGTTTATACAAAGACTGCCATGCAGATATCAGGCCACGCACTACAGCACCAGAGTACCAGACAGGCTGAAGATTACTGCTTCTCAGGTCAGTGAGGTCACCTTCAGTAATTTACCTTTTCTATTGCATTCAACAAATTTTCCTTGCTTTCACAACAACATGCCTTTTATTTATACTTGCAGTTGACCAACTAAATGAAGGCGGCCTCCAAGGCAATTATTGATATAATTACTACTGGAGACATTAATAATGAAGGCTCTTATTGCAGTATCCAGTCTTCACGATGACGAGGTTCAGCAGGCAAATCATCGTGTTACTTTTGGCGAATGCAATCTCAGCATGTCCAAAAACACTATACTTAGAGCATCTCTAAGAGTTTGCTATCTCAACTTGGCATCCATATAATCTTGGCAAAACAAGAAAAAATAGCCTCCAACAGTTTGGCAAAACAACTTGGCATCAATAGTAACTTGGCAAATCTTCCCTCCGCGCGCGTATACGGCTTGGCATCCGGGGCTCTTCGTTTCTTAGCGGGGCTCTTCGTTCGCTTAGCGGGGCTCTTCATTCGCTTAGCGGGCCTCTTCGTTTTGTTAACAGGTTTTTTTATTTTACCAAGTCAAAAATATCGAACTCTTGGAGATGGATTGTTTTTTTACTTGGCATATAATTTTGGGAGTTGGCAAATCACAAGATTTGCCAAGTAAAATTTGACAAACTCTCGGAGATGCTCTTATGTCTGTAGATTCAGACTTTCTTCCTTCTCAAGTTAGATGGGTTCCGTTTATCTGAGCACTGAGAACACGCTCCGCAAATTATGTAGATTAACTATAAACCATGCTATCTTTTCTAAACCAATCATTGAATGACCTGTTTAAGGACTATCCTGTGGCAATGTTGTCTTGACCATGTAGTGCGTCCTTTTGGTTTATTCTATGGTAGAATCGACAACCCATGTAAATCTCCATGGGTGCACAGAGAAGGTGTGCGCGCAGCGGAGCGCGCGTCCCGTCCTAGTATTGTTTACATAGAGATACATGGATGCATTACCTTTTGATGACGGGCACCTCAGCTGGTACACTCCTTGCAAATCAAGCATTATATATATCTTAGGCCCAAGCTCTAGTCTTCCTATATACAGCTGGTTGACATTGTATATATTGCCTGGGGAAAGAACAATAATCATAAGATGGTGACGTACAGAACTTGTTATTTAACAAAAACAATACAACTATAGTCTATATTACATATCCAAGAAGGGCACCAGAAAAATGTCCATGGTTTGGATGTGTTTCCTACTTTCCTCGTTCTAACCAAGCTTATATCAGGTCGATACATAGGGATGCAACCTTAGTAGAAAGCAATGTCTTTGATGAAGAAACGAAGGGAAGTGTCCTGGATGAAGATGATCTCAAATGCGAGAGGCAACACATGGAAATTGATTCTTCCTGGCCTCCCAGGATGCCACCAAGCAGTGAAGTACGCACATGCATGTACGCAGGATCAACTTTCTCCTGCACATTATTGCAGTTGCAGACGATGCCACCGCCCATGAGATTTCCGCCCTGTTCGTTTGAACTTATCAGGCTGGCTTATCAGTCATGGTATAGTGTTTTTCATCTAGCAGATTGAGAGGGCACCATGTTTGGACTCACAGCGCAGGCACACGCTAGATCTTGCGCCTGTCCATGGGATTCATGTCGATGATGCTTGTCTGTAGTCCTCAGGCAGATGACGATGCCGACGTTTGCCGGTACCAATCGGCTGCTTCGATCCGGGACTTTGAGACGTTAGTGCTTGGTGCCCCTCTTGCCTGTCTCTCCACATCCGCAATGCCAACTCCAGCAGGAGGATTAATAATGCACTCGCGAGATTCTCATGCACCTAGGCACTGAAATTCTTGCCCGCTCCCACAACAGCTGTCGGCGAAGCCATCTTTGTACGTATGTCATGACATGTCGTCTGCTCGCCGCTGATAGGAATCGTAACTCTGGGGAGAGCAACGGGGGTTAGATTAGATGAGTTCCAAGAAAACGCAGTAAAAGACGGGATTTTTTTGGTAAATGATTTAGGCAAGTATTTTAATTTAATTATATAATGACAGTGGTGGGTAATTTTTTAGAAAACTAAATTGATCCAATGGCTAGTATTGCTGGAGATGATTGAACATCATTAAATTTGATGGCTAGATGTCTCTAATTATTGTGAGAATTTCTAGGTTTTATCTTTTTTTTTCTAGCGCGTCTAGCGAGGATTAACGCGGAGCCTCCGTTGGGGCCTCTAATTAGTAATAGTAAGATATTTTGGACTAGAAAATAAACTATGTTTAAGAAACAAACTCTTTTGCAGAAGCGCAAAATGTTCATTTTGTACATGTAAGTTTTGCCAGGAGTTTGAAAGAATCATAACTATGTAAAAGAGAGTATGGACAATCACAACCCTGCAGTCCTAGTTGTTCATAAGACTGAATGGCAAATGGTGAATGCCAAGTTGCTGGTTGAAACATATTTGTGCCAAGCCAAAGTTCTGAAGAAGATTCATTTCAATGGCTCCTTCCAAGAGACCAGTCACATTTAGCTACAGATCGATGAAACTGAAAAAATGTGCGACAAGTTAGTTAGCTCACTCGTCAACTTTCCAAGATCGATTGCCCTTTGTTGGGAATGTGGGAACATGGGAATGCAAGGGAGCTAACTGAGATATGATTAGATGCGAAAGGGCCTCTAGCTGACTTGGTTAGGTGACTTGAGTAGCACTGTTGGCGGTCCTTAGCGACACATTTTACCGCCAACTAAGATCAAAAAGGGAGGAAACTAAGCATGACATACACATATATGTTATCACTTTAACCTATTTCCACTTGTATTGGAAGACTATTATTTTGAAGGACATGTATCTAGAATACGTGGAAATGGAGTCAGAATGCGCAACCAGGAAAGCTCAAAACAAGCAAATAAAGAGAAGAGCCCCACCTAACCATCCAATCTGGGCCAAGAACCGACATGGAAGCGGCCCAGGCCCACGTAGCAACCGACCAGAGGAAGGCGGGGTGCGCCCGCACCCTAGGGGCACCAATCGCCTCCCCTTCCACGTGGCATCTGGTGTCTCCATGATGGTTGCATGTGGGCATGCATGAAAATCTTCTCCAAACCGACCATGCCAAGGCTATAAATAGATGGGGAGGCTCTCATTTCAACACACACCACACAAGAGCCTTTCTCCCACACTTGTATCTTTTTACTATTCTTAGTAGTTTTATTTAGAGCAAGGCAAGAAGCTTCATTGGAGAGCTTGTACTTTGGAGAATTCTTGGTATGAATAATATTAAGGATTCTTCTATGTTTTTGCTCTCATATTATCAATATAGCTATGTTATGAAATTAGAGCAAAGTTCTTATGTTATGCATTTAGCATATAGAACTTTATGCTTAATCTTTCATACATACATGTTTAGACCAAGACCTAAATTGAGGTAGTGTGTTCTACTTTAAGATTAGTTTTGGTCATTATATTATTGCGGGTTCGTCGTTCGTCCCCATGGTAGATGCTCTAGTAGAGGACTCCTGATAAAGACGGATGTTCCTGGCCGACGCTAGAGTAGTAGTCGATAGCATAGACTTGGTGTCTAGGCTAGAGGCTACCTTCGTTTGCCTCGTATCCTCCGGTTGAGGGGTAGGCGGCAGGTGGTGACAGCCCTATCCGTCTTTCGTAATCCCCCACATTCGGATACGGCGTAGAGTTGTAGGGCGGCAACGCTTGGCAGACCAAGTGTTATCTAGTGCCCGAAGTAAGTTTATAGTGACCAAAGCTATCTTAACTTAGGATCGCTACCCTTAGATTTTCATGTATTTGTATGGTCTGCTCACCTTAGCATAGCTATACAAGATAAGCCTGCTCCAGTTTAGGTTTATTCTTTTATTCATTTTTCTTTCTTTTATCTTTATCCTTGAGATTGGCTTAAATGTGTGTGTCACACTATCTAATGTTTATCCTAGCTTACCCCTGTTATGAACTTTGGTCTGTCATGTTATCTTGATCATGTCCCTACTAGAAACTTTTACACCATGCCTTTCTTTGGGAAAATATAAATGAATGATACCCGAATACTTCTGGGTGAAATGCTACAACGATATCTCCGTGCGCTTATGGAATATTTCTGCATGTGTTTAGAAATATTGTCACGACATTTCTAGTGCCATTGCTAGGAAGCACTAATCATAGTGATGACGCTAAGAAACGCCAACAAGCACTCATTAGGTCCTGAGTTAAGCTCCCCGTGGGAGCCAGTTTTCAGGCTGGGGTTATTGGGTGTTGACCAATTGCACAAGTAGATCTCAGAGTTTGGTAAAGCCTAGAGGGCAGCTTGGCCATAGGCCACTTGGATTGAATCTGAAGTTGCAAAGACTTGGAATACAAGAAGGTCCTAGCCACTGCTTATATAGGCAAGTGGTCTACGTACTCAACATATTCTAACCACTAAAGTGGATGCTGGGCATATTCTTAATACAAGGCTTAGAAGCCTGGAAACTAAATGATAGGAAACAGTAAACTGCAGAAAACTAAGATACATAGCAGCTAGGCTTAACTATCAATCTCCCCCTAAACCTAGTGCTGAGTGATCTACTTTAGGCCAATCCTCCTCCTCATCTCCTGGAATTTGGCCTTGCCTAGCGACTTGGTGAGGATGTCTGCCAGCTGATCAGTAGTGGCGATGTGGTTGGCCTTGATGCTCCCATCCTCCAAGCAATCTCTGATGAAATGGTATTTGATCCGAATGTGCTTGCTCCTGTCATGGAAGACTGGATTCTTGGCCAAAGCTAAAGCAGACTTGCTGTCCACCTTCAACTCCACCACATCGACCTTTCTACCAAGAAGCTCCCCGAGCAACCTTGACAGCCACAGAGCTTGTGTTGCTGCAGTGGTGGTGGCGATGTACTCTGCCTCGCAACTTGACAATGCCACTACCTTCTGCTTGCTCTTATCATGGAAGACTGGTTTCTTGGCCAGAGCTAAAGCAGACTTGCTATCCACCTTCAACTCCACCACATCGACCATACCGCGAAGAAGCTCCCCGAGCAACCTTGATAGCCTCAGAGCTTGTGTTGCTGCAGTGGTGGTGGCGATGTACTCTGCATCGTAGCTTGATAAT